GTGGAGAAGAGCACTCACAATAGTGTCTAGCCTTCACCTGAATGAGTATGGAAAGGTGCCCCCCAAAGGGAAACCATTAAAGCAAGGCAAATGTTGGCTCTGAAAGAGGATAGCCTCCTAAGGCTTTCTCCTTAAGGAGAAAGGGAATTACTTTCCAAACTGTCTCTTCCTTTGCAAAGCTATCTGTGTTAGTCTTCCGCATCATTGTGCAGAATGCTTTAAATAACTCATTTGCCTCCTTTCCCCAACTCTACCCTTTCCACATTGTTACCTCTAGTCCTAATAGTATTAAGAACCACAGTCTTGGGGCGCCTGGGTGGCGCAGTCGGTTAAGCGTCCGACTTCAGCTCAGGTCACGATCTCACGGTCCGTGAGTTCGAGCCCCGCGTCGGGCTCTGGGCTGATGATGGCCCAGAGCCTGGAGCCTGCTTCCGATTCTGTGTCTCCCTCTCTCTCTGACCCTCCCCCCGTTCATGCTCTGTCTCTCTCTGCCTCAAAAATAAATAAACGTTAAAAAAAATTAAAAAAAAAAAAAAAAAAACCACAGTCTTTACAGAGTGAAAAACATCTTAATGTATACTTCCTTAGCCACACACACATACACGCACACACACAATCAAAGACCTTAAAAACTTTTCACTTCTGGCACCTGGGTGGCTCAGTCAGTTAAGCATCCAACTCTTGATTTCTGCTCAGGTCATGAGCTCACAGTTCATGGGACAGAGCCATGAGTGGGGTTCTTTGCTGACAGTGCAGAGTCTGCCTGGGATTCTCTCTCTTCCTCTCTCTCTGCCCTCCTCCATGCTCTCTCTCTCTAAATATAAAGAAACATTTAAAAAAAAGCTTTTCGGGGCCCTTGGGTGGCTCAGTCGGTTAAGCGTCCGACTTCGGCTCAGGTCATGATCTCACAGTTCGTGGGTTTGAGCCCCGCGTCGGGCTCTGTGCTGACAGCTCAGAGCCTGGAGCTTGCTTCACATTCTGTGTCTCCCTCTCTCTCTGCCCCTTCCCTGCTCATGCTGTGTCTTTCTGTCTCAAAAATAAATAAACATTAAAAAAAATTAAAAAAAAAAAGCTTTTCATTTCAGTGTCCTGTAGTACTTCTAGCCTTATAATTAAAAATAGCAGCACCTGCCCAGGACTCGCCACTCCCTGCTCCCATCCTTTTAAGTGCCTCTTTTTTTTTTTAATCTTGTATATTTACCTATATCTAAAAATTATGCTTATTTGGAAATTCTGGGTTTTTCTTTTCTGATATTGCTGACTGTAAATACCATGATGAGTTGTTCCTTTAGGAAGGAAGCAGCTGTGACGGATACTGCTGGCACACAACCCTCAGCTGTCAGCTCTCTTCAGGGGTCCCTTCTGTGCCAACATGAGGGAAGCCCACATTGTGTGAGTCATATACACAGCATATAAATTGCCAGCCCCCTCAGGGTGCCTGGGGGGCTCAGTTGGTTAAGTGTCCAACTCTTGGTTTTGCCCCGGGTCACGATCTCACGTTTTTGTGAGTCCAAGCCCTGCATCAGGCTCTGCGCGGGCAACCAGGAGCTTGCTTAAGATTCTCTCTCTCCCTCTCTCTCTCTGCCCCTCCCTCACTCATACTCCCTCTCTCTCTCTCAAGAGAAATAAAATAAAACTTAAAAAAATGTTTAAGAAAAATCACCAGCCCCCTCATCCTGACTTGGGTCAAACAAACTTTGAAGAGCTATGTAGCGTCAGAGCTTCCAGGAGGGTTGGCTGAGGCTTTCCTTGAGACTCCATTACAGCCCAGCCTCTGCTCACTCTTCCTTCCTTCCCTTTTGAAGAATGTTCCCTAGTAAACTTCCAGCTGTCAAGCCTCCTCCCTCTCAGAGGAGGCTTCCGGGGAATCGCCTGGGGTATTACCACAGTGACCGCCTGCTACAGGACATGAGGCCTTTTCTATCCTGGACAGCACTCCACTACCCTTTGCCTTGTCACAGTTTCCTTTCATTTCACTTTCTTTGTTGTTGCATTATCGTTTTTAGGTAAATTGAAACAGACATGCTAACAAACACTTGGCTTTTCTCCGCTAAGGAAACTCTGGTTAACCTGATTGATTTAATGAGTCTGTTTTGCAGAAGTTGACCAACTACTGATAAGATCAGCCAAGACTGGAGCAAACTGGAAATTGTTGCTGGTGTGAAGAAGGAACCAACAGTGAATGAGAGTAACCTCTGTAACAACACACACCCTGGATCTGCCCCCCACTTGTCATGCTTATGCTGCCATTTGTAATGAACACCTGTCCCACGAAGACATGTGATTCTGGAATACGCATGCTCAGAAAGGAGGGCATCTCCCTTTTCCCTATATCCAAACAGCATTTTCCATCCAACCTGCATACCTGGTGACATCCTGGCCCCTTGTCCTTAAATACAACCAACCCCAATCCTCCAGGGAGGAGGCAGATTTGAGGCTCCCTCTCCTGTCTCCTCGTTTGGTTGCCTCTCTAACAAACCCTTTGTTTGCTGCATCCCAGATGTCTCAGTGGTTGGCTTTGCTGTGCATCTGGCATATGAACTTGGAATCAGTTACAAAGTCAGAATGTAGTATAATGGCAAGATAGGTATTATTCACAGCTGGGTCACATCCTTTATTCTGACTATATTTTATTTCATGGACTTTTTCTTTCTCTCTTGGCTCATATTTTTACTTCCTCAGTTTTTGTACCAATTATCTCCTCATTCCAATTTTAAAACAAATTCTCCTTGGAAGATGGTCACAAATATTAGCTATTCAATGAGTCTTATATTATTCTTAGAGACCTTGCTCTTGGAGGCCTCTATTCTGTTCTAATCTGGTTGTGCTCTATGCCTGATGAAGACTGTTGTCTTGGTACTTTTGTTCACCATCATTCTGCGAATCCCTTCCACTTATCTCCCGGTTGAATTCCTTGTTCCCTGGATCCCATTTCTTCCTCTTTCTTGGTTTACTGCCTCATTGCACTCAGGGCACATTCTCTAGTAGTTTTCTGGAAAGAGGTTTATGGCAGGTAAACTTTTAAGATCTTGCATTTCTGAAACTGCAATTCTGAAATCTTTATTTTCTCCTCATACTTAGCCAATAGTTTCACTGAGAATAAAATTTTAGATTAGGAAGCATTTTCTCAGAATCGTGAAGTCTTTGTCTTCTAACTTCCTCAGATGCCTGTGGGAGGATCCTGTCCTTTCTTTGTGATTTTTGTTTGCTGATTCCTGAAAGCTTTGACATCTTCACAGAAACCCTGGTGTTCTGAATCTTTATGACACTATGACATATGTCTCTTTGTAGTCAATGATCTGGGAGTGAGCCCTTTCAGTTTTGAACCTCATGGTCTTTAGTTCTAGGAAAATCTCTTTTCACTATTCCTTTGATAATATCTTCTCCCCATTTTTTGGTTCTCTCTTTCAGGTGTTGGACCTCCTGGCTTGATAGTCTAGTTCTCTCTCTCTCTCTCTCTCTCTCTCTCTCTCTCTCTCTCTTTTTTTTTGCTTTCTCTTTCCATTTGCCTTTTTATGCTAATTAGGGAAAGTTTCTTAACTTTTTCTTCCAATCTTTCTGATGATTACCTTTCTACTTTAATTTTGCTAGTTTACTCCCAAAAGCAGGAGCTTTGTCCCTCCTCCTCCTCCTCCTCCCCTTCTTCCTCCTCCTCCTTCTTCATTGATATCTGCTTTTTACTTCAGAGACTCAATAACTTGTCTGATTATAGTAATTGTAGGTTTTTAAAAAAGATTTCCCCCTCATTTCTTTCCCCCTTTCTTTTATTTATACTTTCTCTGCCTTTTATATTAGAGGTTTTTTCAGATGACAGTGACACTCTGCTATCAAATTATTATTTTCATTTTAAGTGTCAGACGCTAAAAAGCTGATTAGAAGCTCTGTGTGCTCCGATGGAGCTTGTCTTCTGGTGGACTTTACCATTAGGTCATTGTGTGGGGCTCAAAAGAGTCAGTATCTGCAGTTCTTTTCTTATTAAGCCTGAAGTCTCTCCTTCTATTCTCTTCCCCACCTCATCAGCTATGCCGATGTACTTGAGGCTTAGAGCCCTTCCGGTTCAACTGCTATAGACAGTAAATGCATCTTCTGTTTGAGAAGGCGTATTTGCTTTGTTGCATGGGTAGGGGAGACCAGGGTTAAAATCCTACTTTTTAAAAGATTTTTAAATAGGTCTCTTCAGCCTCACCCACAACCCTGTTTCCCAAGATACTCATTGCCTCTGATCCCTTCATCTTTCCACAAATCTGTCAGGAGAGTTGATTCACATCTTTTGGACTTAGATGCTTAGATTTTAGCTTTCTCTAAACTGCTAAGTCAGTTCTCTTTTCTGTCTCCAAGATTTCTTCTTTTGTATGAGGTCATATATTTTTCTAGTTGCGTGTGTGTGAGAGAGAGAGAGAGAGAGAGAGAGAGAGAGATTTTTCTCTTTGTGAACATTGCTGTGGGGTTTTGGAAGGGAGTGGAAATATGTTTTTATTTTTTTCTTGTATGATTAAGGCAATCTCTCGTATGTCTCCCCTTTTGTTCCATGTTTAAATGACAGTCTGAGGGAGAGTGAGAGTCTTACTCTTTCGGCTACATTCACAAGAACATTATAGAGTATCATTTCATTGAAAAGATATGAGCACAGAGTTAGTGACCAGCCTGGTGCATAGTATACAATGTTGCTAATTGTTACCTAAGAAGGCCCAGAGGTGAGAAAATATAAGATAGATTGGAGGACAGCATGACATTTGACATTCTTTGGGTGATTAAAATTAAGTATGTGGGACATGAAGATACAGAAATAGGAAAGGCAAGTCTCACACTCACGAGTGTGAGGACTTGAAGAATCACAATATGAATGAGCATGTCAAGAAGACTTTTTACTTTTTATTTATTTTTTCCCTGAACATCAACCTTTATGCTGGGTGAAAAAGAAGATAAAGTTAAGTAAGACAATGTGTTGCTCCTACTTTGGTGTACTTCAATGTAGAATTTAGGACTTATAACTTGTCTACTTCAAAAGGATAAGAGATGGTTTAATGTATCTATAAATACAGAATGGACAATGGGTTGAATATCTTCTGTCTGCCCTTCCAGATCACGTCTCCACCCATCACTCTGCTATATGTCTCGGGAGGCTGACTTGGACAGGTTACATCAACTCAGCTCTTGTGTCATCTGCCTTTTTGTTGGATCCCACCAGAGGGAAGCTGCAACAGGAGATCTAGGGAAAGAAGGAGAATGAACTAAGGGTATTTCTTTCCCTGACACCTTCCTTGTATTATCTTTCTTCTCCAGCTTCCTCACCAAAGGTGACTACTCTAGTCAAGGCACCACCTCTATATGACTCTCTCCCTACTGTCTACTCTTCTCTCATCATGCAGCTGATAACCCCTCTTACTCTGTAATTTTGGTGGGAATTGCTGCTATGAGTATACTTGAGCTTCCAAATGATGCAAAATGTTGAACCTGAATACTTTTAAACAACTTGAGCTAAGTGCTCAACAGGGTGGTAAGGGGAGTGGGTTTCCCCCCTCCCCCACCCAAAGGCTTTTTGTTGCCTGAGGTACATGCGTATGTGACTGAAGGGTCTAAGTTGCCAATAAGTGAATTTGGCGAATATATTTTAATGACTCTTCTTTTATACCCTCATACTTACCAACTAAGCTAAATGGATATGCTTCTAGTTTGCTGGCTAAGTACTTACTATTTTGCAGAGTATTATAACTGATTGATGTGGCAGGACTAAAAGAAGAAAAACAGGTGTTTATTCTGAAAGATGTGTCATAGTCCAATAAGGAAATCTTTCCACCTATTTCTGTATTTGCCACTTTCTTAGAGGCTTAGAGGGGAGGTTGAATCAACATTGATCCATATGAACTATGTTGTACAGCCTGAGATTTTCACATGATGACAGCAAAACAAATACATCTGTGAAGTGGTCTTTAGGCAAAGGCTTGGTGTAAATGTGATATTTGAACAGAGGGTCATGGAAAGGTAAGGTACCAGGTAGCTTGAAATAGATCAAAGTTAAGATTTTTATGGACTCATAAATTATTTAAATCAATTTCCAAAGTTAGCCTGTGCCTTAAATACTACTTCATGTTCTCTTTCATCTAGAAAGACTATTGAATATCATAGCTGTTTTTTTTTATTAAAAAAAATTTTTTTTTCAACGTTTATTTATTTTTGGGACAGAGAGAGACAGAGCATGAACGGGGGAGGGGCAGAGAGAGAGGGAGACACAGAATCGGAAACAGGCTCCAGGCTCTGAGCCATCAGCCCAGAGCCTGACGTGGGGCTTGAACTCACAGACCGCGAGATCGTGACCTGGCTGAAGTCGGACGCTTAACCGACTGTGCCACCCAGGCACCCCTCATAGCTGTTTTTAAAAAATGTTTAACATTTATCAATTTTTGAGAAACAGAGCGTGAGTGGGGGAGGGGCAGAGAGAGAGGGAGACACAGAATCGGAAGCAGGCTCCAGGCTCTTAGCTCCCAGCTTTCAGCACAGAGCACACTGCTGGGCTTGAACTCACGAACCACAAGATCATGACCTGAGCTGAGGTCAGCTGCCTTATCAACTAAGTTACCCAGGTGCCCCATCATAGCTGGTTTTTAAAGAGCATTAATTTGTAAAAAAATTTCCATGAAAATGTTTGATAATTATTAAATTCTAACAACAAACATCATTCAGGGGGAAAAAGAGTCTTAAAACTGGCAATTTTCAGGGGCTCCTGGCTGGCTCAGTCAGTAGAGTATGTGTGACTCTTAATCTCAGGGTTATGAGTTCAAGCCCCACGGTGGGCATGGGAGCCTATAACAAAGAAAAAACTGATAATTCATTCTAAAAACATTGAATTTAAGCACTGATAGAAATATTGCCTTTTTAGGGGTGATGGTTAAAAGAAACACTGAAAGGAATATACCAGGAGCCCGTTGTATTGTTTTGCAAGATTAACTTATATGCTAATAAGAGATTGTATTCATCTTGCCGATATGTGAATATAAAACTCCACGGACCAGTTACATAGAAGCTGTCCAAGGGTTTTGAATGCAGATACCAAGCACCATAGGTAACAGGTGTGTTGGAAATGTGTTAATCGACGGACCTGCTTGTGTAAATGCATGGTGAGAGATCATGATTACTGTACCCTTCATGTGCTGCAAAGGGAATAACAGCTTAAATGCCCCTGCAAAGGGAGGGAAAGATCTTCTGTAGTAAAATGCTGGAGAGAGTAATCTTTTGGTCCATTAGTTAGCAAGAAAAGGATAGGCTTCTTTCTTCCTAAAGAACAGAGCGCTATCTATATCTATCTATGTGGTTGGTCATAGTGGCCAAACTTCCGTTGAGGAATGTATCATTCACCTGAAATCTTAAATGTCAGAGCTTAGCTAGTCTCTCCATAAACTCATGATTATCCATGAGAAACCGTAAGGGAGAAGACGCTGCAGGTTCAGAAGACCATGTGACGGGAGACTAAATTTCATTAACAACACCCTGAGAGGAGCCAGTCAGCCGAAGGGAACAGCAGGGGGAATCCCCACCTCTTAACACAGAAAATGCTCGTACCAGCTCCACCTCTACTTTTGCCACACCTGCTGCACAATCATTCATCAGGCTGAAAGCTGTGGGTGTGACTGAGGGGCAGTACCAAGGATGATCCACAATCGTGAGGGGCTTCCAATTTGTTCACTGGTGTATGGAAATGCAGAAAACACGTTTTTCAAACTACATGCAATTGTTCTCAAAAACAGACGCTAAGTCTTGTCAATATTGTCTTTCAACGCCTACAAGCTAGAAAAAGAAGTACTCAAAATATTGTTGAATAGACGAATGAATAAAATAGTAACTAGGTTTAGTAAAATGTGAGGGAGAGGAGAAGCAGGAGAGTCTGGGAGGTACCGAGTCTTGTATTAGATAAGGTTAGATTAAGTCTGATACCTCTGAGGGAAAATCTATTACTTGCTGAGGGGAGCGCCTCTTTTTTTCCTTCCCTCCTTCTTATTATTAGAGTAATAAAAGTATCAAGCACTTATAATCAAAGTCATTTAAACCTTTTACAGAAAGGGGCACCTGGGTGGCTCAGGCAGTTAGGTGTCCGACTTCAGCTCAGGTCATGACCTCAAGGTTCCTGAGTCTGAGCCCCACATAGGCTCACTGCTATCAGTGAAGAGCTTCAAATCCTCTGTCCCCCTCTCTCTGCCCCTCCCCGCATGCGCGCGCACGTGCATACACACACACACACACTCTCAAAAATGAATGATTAAAAAAAATCAACTTTTTACAGAAGATTCTTATGCAGTTAATATTAATGTTAGATATAGTTTTTCATTTCCTCTTTTATCTTTTTTATTCTTTTAAGCATAATTTTATATATTGAACCAATTGTCTTTTTGCAGTCAAAATCTTAGGGAAACAATAAAGTTTTAGAGATGGATGCATCCTGAAAGTAGTAAAATCCAAAGTCTTAAGACTTCCAGAATAACAATAATATGCTATACAATATGCTATATATTATAACAATAATATTATTTTCTTCTTTACATGGTGGTCACTCCATCATTGCATTAATCAATCAGTAAATACTTATTAAATACCAAATGGCCCCCAAATAATGTGGTATATTACAGAGGGGATGCACACATACACACACACACAAACACACACAGCAGAAATCATAGTTTCTGCTTTAAAGTATTTATAATTGGAAGAACTTAAATTATGTATGTGTTTAAAGCAAAGAGCAGTCAAACATCAAACAGCTGGAAATTGTCTAAAAGGGCCTTGGAAACACAAAGGGGAAATGTTATTATTAACCAAAACCAGCAAAAGGAGTTTTTATGAAGGAGGCAGGACCTGGACTAGACCTTGAGGGACAGTTAGCAGGGAGACAAAGTGTCTTCCAGATGGGATGGATACACTGGCATAAAAGCTGGAAGGAAAAGGAGGCTGACACTTCTTACACCCCACGTTAGAAGCCAAAGTAAGGTGTGACTCTCACAGCAAGTGACAGGCTGTAAGTACCAGGCTGATATTACGGGAGGAGAAATGTTGCTTTGGGACAGTGACAGATGGCACTATTGTTTGGGAATTAATTTGAGTCTCAATGTTTTGTGCCTGCAACAGGTGTGCTGTGGATACTTTTAAAGAAGCTAATGGGGAATAGCTGAGCTGCTGGGTGTTCTGTTTAAAACATGGTTATGAAATGTAGAGTGGTGATTAGTTGGTTTTTAATTTTCATTTGAGCATAATTGACACACAATGTTACATTGGTTTCAGGTGTACAACATAGATTCAACCTCTCTATACCATATGCTATGCTCACCACAAGTATAGCTACCATCTGTCACCACACATCACTATTACAATATCTTTGACTATGTTGTTTGTGCCTTTTATTCCTACAACTTATTCATTCTGTTGCTGGAAGCCTGTATCTCCCACTTCCCTTCACCCATTTTGCCTGTCCCTGCACAGCCCCCCTCCTCCGTCAACCATCAGTTTCTTCTCTGTAAGTCTGATACTGCTTTTTGTTTATTGATTTCCACATATGATATTTGTCTTTCTCAGCCTGCCATATTTCACTTAGCATCATACCCTCTGGTTCCATCTATGTTGTTGAAAATGGCAAGATCTCATCCTTTTTATGGCTGAGTAATACTCCATTGTGTGTGTATGTGCGTGTGTGTGTGTGTGTGTGTGTGTACACATCTTCTTTATTCATTCATCTGTTGATGGACATTTGGGTTGCTTCCATATGTTGGCAATTATAAATGTTGCAATAAACATAGGGGTGCATATATCTTTTTGAATTAGTGTTTTCATTTTCTTTAGGTAAATATCCAGGAGTGGAATTACTGGATCATATAGTATTTCTATTTTTAACGTTATGAAGAACCTCTATACTGTTTTTCATAGTGTTTTTACCAATTTACATTCCCACTAACAGTGTATGAAGGCTCCTGTTTCTCCACATCCTCGCCAACACTTGTTATTTCTTGTCTTTTTGATTTTAGCTATTCTGACAGGTGTAGGGTAATATTTCATTGTGGTTTTGATTTGCATTTCCCTGATGATTAGTGATGGTGAGCATCTTTTCATGTGTCTGTGGGCCATCTGTAAGTCTTCTTTTGAAAAATGTCTATTCAAGTCCTCTGCCCATTACTTAATCAGATTTTTTTTTTTACTGTTGAGTTGTATAAGATTTTTATACATTTTGGATACTAACCCCTAATCAAATGTATCATTTGTAACAATTTTCTCTCAATTAATAGGTTGCCTTTTCGTTTTGTTGATGTTTTCCTTTGCTGTGCAAAAGCTTATTTTGTTGTAGTCTCCATAGTTTATTTTTGCTTTTATTTCTCTTGCCTCAGAAGACCTATCTAGAAAATGTTTTCTAGACTTAGAAAATGTTTCTATGTCTGGTGTTAGAGAAATTGCTGCCTGTGTTCTTTGCTAGAATTTTTATGGGTTCGGGTCTCACATTTAGGTCTCTTACCCATTTTGAGTTTATTTTTGAGTTATGGTGTTAGACAGTGGTCCAGTTTTCCCAGCAGCATTTATTGAAGAGACTGTCATTTCTCCATTGTAAATTCTTGCTTCCTGTGTTGTAGATTAATTGAATGTATAAGTATGGGTTTATTTCTGGACTTCTTATTCTGTTCTATTGATCTATGTGTCTATTTTTGTGGCCGTATCATGCTGTTTTGATTACTACAGCTTTGTGGTATATCTTTGCTTTTTGTATATATACCATAGGTTTTGGGTTTGTGGTTACCATGACAGGAGGTTCATATATAATACATATATATAGCAGTCTATGTTAATTTGACAGTCATTTAAGTTGAAACATATTCTTTTAAAAAAATCTTTCTTTTTTGTATTCCCTCTCCCACACTTCATGAATATTCTGTCATATTTTACATCTTTTTATTCATAATTTTCTTATGTCTAATTATGACTATTTCTATTCCACTTAAAGAAGTCCCATCAACATTTTTTGTAAGGTTGGTTTAGTGATGATAAACTGCTTTAACTTCTGATTGTCTGGGAAACTCTTTATCTCTCCTTTTTAAAAAAAAAATTTTTAGAATATTTATTTCTTTTTGAGAGAGATAGTGTGAGCAGGGGAGGGGCAGAGATAGAGAGGGACAGAGGATCCCAAGTGAGCTCTGTGCTGACAGCAGAGTCTGGTGAGAGGCTTGAACTCAGGAACCATGAGATCATGACCTCAGCCAAAGTCATCCATTCAACCAACTGAGCCACCCAGGTGCCCCTCCTTATCTCTCCTTTAAATCTGAACGATAATCTTGCTGGGTAGAGAATTCTTGGTTGTAGGGTTTTTCCTTTCAGAACTTTGAATATATCATACCACTGCCTTCTGGCCTGAAAAGTTTCTGCTGAAAAATGAGCTGACAGCCTTATAGGGTTTCCCTTGTAGGTAACTTTTTGCTTCTCTCTTTCTGCTTTTAAAATTCTGTCTTTATTTTTAGCCTTTGACATTTTAATTATGTGTCATGGTGTAGACCTCCTTGGGTTTATCTTGTGTGAAACTCTATGCTTCCTGAACCTGGATGTATATTTCCTTCCCTAAGTTAGGAAAGTTTTCAGCTATCATTTTTTCACAAAAGTTGTCTGCCCCTTTCTGTCTTTCTTCCTCTCCCTCTCCTTGTTGTTGTCATCTTCCTCTTCTCCTCCTCTCCTCTTCTTCTTGCCCTATAACATCAATGTTTGTTCACTTGATGTTGTCCAAGAGAGCCCTTAACCCATCCTCATTTAAAAAAATTCTTTTCTTTTTGTTGTTCAGCTTGAGTGCTTTCCATTACCCTGTCTTCCAGATCACTGATCCATTCCTCTGCATTTGCTAATCTGTTGATTCCCTCTAGTGTATTTTTTATTTCAATTATTGTATTCTTCAATTCTGATTGGTTATTTTTTTGTACCTCTTTATTGAAGATCTTACTGAGTTCTTCCACTTTTCTTTCTAGCCAGGTGAGCATTACGGTCATTACTTTAAATTCTTTCTCAGGCATATTGGTTATCTTCATTTCCTTTAGTGCTTTTTCTGAACTTTTTCTTTTCTTTCTTTTGGAACATATTCCTTTGTCTCCCCATTTTGCTTGACTTTCTGTGTTTGTTTCTATGAATTATGTGGAACAACTACTTCTAAACTTGAAGACATGGTCTTGCATATGATCATCTCTTATGTAGACTATATATAACTGGTGACTTTTGCTGGCTGTTTGGAGTTGTGGCTGTGTGGGCTAGGGGTCCTATGGCTCTCTACATAGCAGGCATCCTGGCAGGACAGCTCATAGAGAGCTGGTTAGTTTTGAGGAATGTAAGTAATTTGTTTCTTAATTTTTGCTACTATCCAACTTGCTTATTTAGTCTAACTGTGCTTCACCTAGTAACATCCTGTGCTTTGATGGCTGAAGATCCAGGAGACTTGGGTTTGAAGCCTATTTATATAACTTTGGGAGAGTTATATTTCTAAGTCTAATTTGTAAGAGAGGGAGAAACACTTGGCCTCCCTCAGTGATTGTGAGGATGAATTGAAAAATGTATTCAAATATGTAATAAATCTCTTGACACATATTTTCCTCTTTCCTTTTTTTTTCTTTCTCAGTTCTCAAACAATAGGCAACTATACTCAAGAAGACCACAAAACTTATCATATCATATAAAACCTCTGACAGTTTTTGGACTGAAAAGGAGCATTGCTGAAAATTATACTAGGGCACAGTAGTAAATTAAAACTGACCCTTACTATATTTCTTTATGAAAAGAGAAGAAAAAATAAATGAGAAAAAAATTAAACCCCTATAAACCATTGAATAAAACACTTGTATCACAAGAGATGTTCTTGTGTTTCTCTACAAGGATCTCAAAATCAAAATCAAAATCTTATTGCAATGTGCTTGGCAGTTCTCACTAAAAGTAGCAATGAGCACAATATTAACTGTAAACTGCCACTCTTGTTCCCTCATGGCATCATATTCTTTCATATTCTTTCTTCTCAAACTTTCTGGCTGATACATTCTGGCTGGTCTGGGAAATCAGGGACACCAGTAATTGGGGCCTAAAAAGACCTGATTTATATATATTTAGATTCCAGCATGATTAAGTTTGGGAGAGAAAATTGAATTTATATCATGGCCTTTCCTGAGAGGGATTTCAAGGAGGCACTGCAGCATAATGTGGAGGTGAGGTGTGTGGGAATAGTTTAACTTGTTATTAGAGACTTTTTGACATTTCACCATTTTATTTTTATGCTTTGAATTCCCTCACTAAAAGGTGGGAACAGAGATACTGACGTTGCCATTGAAATATTGCTGCCTTCTTTCATAGGTGATTTGAGTCTTATGTAACGTGCCTTAATATTTGGTAGCAATTAATACTGTGTGTATAAACTTACCACTTAAACTTGATTCTATGCTTGCCAAGCAAACTAAATAGAGAATCTTAGTCTAAGAAGCTTCAGTCCTAATACATTAATTAGCACATGTGTGAGTCTAGGACATTATGAGTAAGTCAACGGAAACTGAGCTCTAATCTACTCTGGGTTTCTTGCAGGAATTGTTTGTAACCAGGTGCATCCATTACAGTGAGGGGACTTTTAACCATATGTTCACAGGACTTCAGGTTTGATTTCAGGACATGTTGGGGTGCTCTTAAAAGTCACTTTAGTGAATCTGTGGATCCTGTTCTGGCCTCATTAGGCTGCCAGGATCCTCCTTTGGGCCCCTGAATCAGTGTCACAGATTGTGAGGTAACCAGAGAGCATCTTAATACCTTCTTGGTGACAGCAAGCATCTGGCTCTTTTCTTTTCTTGGATGAATTTTTGCATGCTTTTTCTTACTACGTGTTTTAGACTTTTTGGTACATATTACCAAAATAATAGGACTCTATACAAATGAGAGGAAAAACCTTTGCTTAGGGACTTCTGGGACAATGCAGCATTAAAGCAAGCCCAGAGAAGACAATGCAGCTGATAACCTGAGTCAGAAAAGTTTAACCTATCACTGGGCTCCCAGCATGCCAGTAATCTCTATTTATAGGTGGGATGAAAACATACCCCCAGAAGTTGAGTGTCTTCCTGAATATTATGATGGTAATGGTGAAGGTTCACAGGATAGGAGTTTTTGGGCAAAGAAACTGAACCTCTCCAAAGAGTAGTAAGTACTAGTTTTTATAAATAGCTAGAGGATATGTATCAGGTACTCCAACTAAGTCAGTTTGGGAGTCAAGACACAGTATTCTGGAAATGTGGGAAAAGTATAAGCTTGCAGCAAAAGGAAAGCATCTTTGGAGGCCTTGTGCATTGAAAGGAAGAGGGCTAGATCCGGACAGGGCAATGGCAACTACACAGGAGAAGACAGCATCTCCTAGAGCCAGAGGAGGCACAATGGGTACACAAAAGACGATAAGATTTAAACACTGGTTCAAGGGCAAGTGATTGAACCCATCATAAGGTAATTGCTAATTCAGATCTACCCAGGCAGCTGTTTCTAGCATCCATTTCTTATAACATGCAGCTTGATGATGTAGACAGTTTATGTTCATTGGTCTCTTTTTTTTTTCTAGGCCCCCACTTGCATAGAAAATTCCTACCACATATTTTTTCCCTAATAATGTAATTTTAATGTAATAGGTTAAAAATTCTAAGTCGAATGGAGATTAACTGCACAAATATATGGCATAAGATAACAAGAATCATAAAATATCTATCTTTATGAATATTCATAGAGAATTTTACTTTAGTTTGGCTTTTTCATCTTTGAGAACCAGAAAATCCGATTTCAAGACTGTCTTTCCCCAAAGATAGTTTGTCTATGGACCAATTATGTTAAAGTTGTTTTCAACTTTAGCTTTCATTATTTGTAAAATGAAGAACAACGATATTTTTCTAGTTTCTTTTAGTTTTATATAACAAACTGTTTTAGTTTGCTACACAAATGCTTTTATATATCCTACAACTTGTACAAAGGACTTTTCAAAAAAGATATGACTTCTAAAGCATTTAATACTGCTTGTAACTTGGGTAAAGATATCAATGAGGGAGATGCCACATGATAATACGTTTGAATTGAAATATAAACCTAGTTTTATTTTGCAAGTGAGTGAGTGAGAGAGAGCGAGAGAGAAAAGAGATAGACATGTGCTTTATGAAGAAAATGGCTTTTAAAAATGGCTCAGTAGTATTTTGCAGGCCAACTTTATTTCCTGGTGCCTCTGGCAAACAGGGGAAAGTGCATTCTTCCACACAGGCGTTCTTGGAATAAAATGTCTCTAGGGAGTTCACTTCCTGCTTCATCATGCATCATACCTGTTTTACCTACTAATCTATACCTCACAGGACTATTGAGAGCCCTAGCTAATAAAAAGCGATCATAAAGCACTTGGCAAAACCACAACAACTATAAAAGGATACACGCAAATGTGGTAAGGCTTGCCTTTCTGGTATGTACATGAAGTCCTTGCGCATGAAATAGTGCAGTGACTCAAATGTTAAGAAATTTTTTTCTCTTTCACAAACTGGAAGTAGTTTTGCCAGCTGGCTTGCTGGAGTGAATTGCTTTGAACTCAATAGTAGGCCACTTGATTGAAAACCTTCCTCCTGATTCTAATATTAGACCTCTCCTCATGAATTTGTGCATGTATTACTTAAGAATTCATACCTGCTTATTTAAAGGGGAAGAGCAACATGTTTGTGTTAGAAAAACGTACAGAAATAAATGGGTTGCATGGTAATCAATGGTCTCGTGTCATCACTGAATAGGAATTAGTAGCACTTACTTGGTAGTCTTCTAAAGCAACCACTGTGAGAACACATTGTAATTACCATGCACAGTGCACACACTAATGTTGTATGTTCTTGATCCACAATTCAACCTGGCAGGAAGTAAAGAGAAGACCCAGGGAGTGGCCGTATAATAGATAGAAAGAGTGGTCAGTCCATCCTGATGTGAGGATTCCACTCAGTCACAAACAGACTATCAGGCTGAGTCATGAGTCCAGGTGCCACCATCCCACTCCAGCCAAGTGCAGCTATCCCGACTGCCAGGAGAAGACTCCTGGAATTACACATAGTGAATGAAGAATGGCAGGCGAGACTGAGCCCTTGGTACAAAGGAAGCAAATCCCCAAGAAACTAAGAAGACCTTTATCAGTTTCATTCTGCTCCTCCTTCTCTCTCAGAAAAGATTACAAGCAGAGGTCTTCTTCAGAAATACTTGCCTATGTCTTGGGTGTGACATCAGAGACAACAGCAGAGAGAAAAGATGACATCCATACTTTTGAAGCCCAGGAGACTTCTCAGTCCCTGTTTATTTTTATTTTGGCTTTGCTTGAAACAATAAAAAAGGGGAGGTGGTCAAATATTTTGAAGTTTTGAATCTCTGTTTATCACTCTAAGGCTCTTCTGCTGTGGAACTGTATGATTTTACCTGGTATTTGAGTTCAATGCTGGCATGTAGTGTTTTTCTTTTTCCCCCTAGAAGTGACCAGATTTAAAATACATGTAATATTTACTTTGTTATTTTCTTATATTTTATGAAAGTGGAACTTGGCATATAGGAATTTTTTTATTACAGGAATTTATTTTGATCATTTCTCTATTTATATCAGAATTAGAGTTGCTTATAGGGGTTATTAATTTTGTTGGACTATTAATGTCATATTAGATGCCCCTATATGTTTCCTTCCACGAAATTCTAATGTCGTGGCTCATTGGTGTGATTATGCATTCTCCTGAGAGTATTAAATGGGTGTGAGTGGAATAGCCATATGATAAAGATGTTTTTATTTATGTGGAGTGTCTGGTAGGTGGAGTTAGGAGATTCTTTCCCAGGCATTGCCACAGCATTACACAAACATTGCTCTGTTTCTTGTAACCCAAATGAGGCTCCTCAAAGAGTCCATGAAAAAATATCTGTCTTCTCTGATTACAGTCTGGTGGTGATACTCTGCTTCAAATATTCCTTTTTCTTAACTCCAAAGACTGTTTTAAGTTTTCCAATGTCTGGTCGATGCCAAGATAAAGATAAGGATGAACTAGCAAGAGCTGGTCAGAGGTAAGAAAATTTGATTCTATAATTTTGGGCAAATCACCTGAAATATGGAGGGAAGATAGTATCTTTGCTGTGTTATTTTTGAGAATTTTACTATCTTTTTCACTAATAGTTTAGCAGCAAAAGAAACAAATATCATTCCCCACTTGCATTTTATAAATATTTGGATATGTTCAGATTTGGTAATAAAGATGTTAAGAATAATCTGAGCCTTTTTGTCTCCAAAACTGGAAAACAACATTTTTTTTTCTTAGAGTTGGCTTTCAAATGAACACTGAACACTAACTTTACAGGCCATGAGTTGTGAAAGCAACAGGGGAAGCATACTTTCTGGAAATCCCAAATCTTCTCTTCTACTGTCTCTCTGTTTAAAAGTAGTATATGTCATTTTGAAAGAGAACTTCACTTTCAGATTCAAATTCATGATGTTGCTAAGTATAAAAAGAGTAATATACTTGGAGAATGTTCTTCTTAACATTATCTCAGTTGATATAAAAAAGCAGTTTCTGCTAAAACATTTTCAAGATGATTTTCTAAGGACTTCAAGAAATTTGACTTTCTAAATACTTTATATAAAGGACTTGTATCCCATAATAAATGAAGATGGTGATACTATTAACAAATTTCACCTAAGAACAATAATAGGAGGCAACACAGAGTTAGAGTGTAGGGAGTGTCTGACTTGGATACATGCTGATTATAACTCATGAGAGGATTGTGTCTAAAAGTTCATTTGTAAGTTAATTGTTTGGAACTCAAAACCTTGATATAAATTGGTAAAGCTCACAGGCTGCATAAGTCTAGTTAAGTTATACTGAAGTTGAAGTTCTTTAACAGTATTATATCAAAAATACCATTCTAGAGTTTACAACATTGTTTTTCTTTCCATACTCCAAAAGGTAAGGAGCTGTCAGGGTAGAATGCAATGATCAAATGCATTCAAGAATAGTCAAGGAAGTAAGGAATACTTGGTAGTGGTGGTGGGGGGTGCAGGTTGGTAATGTGTAAAAGTAGTCACCAGAGCCACTGTTCATCTTGAAGGTATTTGTTAAGCTAGATGAGCTTTGAGCACTTGTCATAGCCTCATGGAGCTTGAGTACCTTCCTAACGTGGGGAGTCCAATAGGATACCCCTCATAACCTGGCATTTCAAAGGAATTCAAGGGAAACTGATTGTCTCAAACACTGGAGCAGATGTGGAGGTAGGGTGGGGCAGAAATCCTCCTTAAAGATTCATAAATATAAGCCAGATCTCCCATGGTGGTCTGAAAAATTTCAAGTTGAGAATTTAGTATGAAAGGGTCCTGAATGGATAGTAACCCCCCAGACATATACCCAAAGATAAACAAATATTCTTTCCAGAGAACTCTTCTTTTCAGATCTCACTACATTTCCACATATAAAACTCCAAGGATCAGGTAGCATAAAAATAAATCATCATACATAGAAAAAACAAGACACCATAAGTAACGGCTAGAAGAATATCAGATAGTAGAATCAGACTCACAAGTGCTTCAGCAATTGGAATTATCAGAAATAGAATCTAAAATATGTATGCTAAATATATTTTAAGAAATTAAGCAAAGGCTTAAAATATGAATGAAGAGAAAGCAGATTTAAAATAACCAAGCAGAACTTTAGAAATGAAAATAAGATACACTAAAAACTAAAAAGCTTTAACAGAAGATGAGACAAAGCCAGAGAAAGAATTAATGAACAGTAGGATGTTTGCAAAATTATCCAGAATTCGGCTTAGAAAGATAAGAAAAAAGAAACTATGAAAGAAATGTTAAGAGATATGGAGAGCAAATGAGAATGTGTATACAGAGTCCCAGAAGGAAAGGGGAGAAAGAATGGAGTTCAGAATTTTCCAGAACTGATGAAAGTCAGTTTTAAGGATCTTTTAAAGGTCCTTGTAGTATCTGGCAGAAGGTAGATAGATATAAACTCAGAATTTAATGAGTTAAAATTAGGATAACCACTAAGTGAACAGGAATAGAGTACATAACTTCCAAACTAGAATCTAGGAAGAGAAGTAGAAGCATAAACAAAACCAAAAAACAATCAATAATCCCAAAGAAGGCAATGGTGAAAAAAATATATAGATCAGAAAAATATAAATGGGGAGCACATTAGATGGCAAAAGTAAATTTCAATATATCAGCAATTATAAAGCATGGAATGGTTTAAATGCTTGGTCTAAGATTCAATCATTATTAGAGTAGACTAAAAGTCAAAATTAACATGAATTAGATAAATCTGAAACATAATGACTTAGAAAGTTTTAATATAATATGATGAAAAGAGTTAGAATAATACTAGGCAAATACTAATCAGAAGAAAGCGATTTAGGGGTGTCTGGGTGGCTCAGTCAGGTAAGCATCTGACTCTTGTTTTCGGCTCAGGTTGTGATCTCATGGTTTGTAAGATCAAGCCCCGTGTCGGGTTCTGCACTGACAGCGTGGAATCTGCCTAGGATTCTCTCTCTCCATCTCTCTCTCTCTGCCCTTCCCCTGCTCATGCATGTATGTGCATGCACTCCCTCAATATAAAAACTAAAAAATAAATTTTTTTTAAAAAAAGAAAGCCATTTAAATGCTAAGGCAAAAGCATTACTAAAATTAAAGAAGGTCACAACGTAATGGTAAATTTACCAGGCAAATAAAATAATTATAAACCGGTTTGCATATTATAACACCCCCCCCAACTATATAAAGCAAAAATTGACAGACTTATAAGCTGAGACAGACAAACCTACCAACATACTAGGAAATTTTAACTCATCTCTTCCATGAATGAATTATCGAGCAGATGCAAATATAGTAATAGAAGATACCAACAACACAATCATGGTAATAGAAGAGATCAATAATACGACCATAATACTTGATCAAGGCCTTTTGTTTGTTGGTTGGTTGGTGCTTTTTTGTTTTATTTTTTAGGAGCTGCAGCCTTCTAATTTAATTTTGAGAGAAATAAATAAGTTTGGGGAGATTGAAAATTCCCCAAAATGGCCACTGAAGTTCCAAATTTCTTTTGGTTAAGTTGATCCATTTAGTCTAGAAATGCATATGAGGAAGGATCATAGTTTTTAAACATAAAACCACCAGAGTCCTAGTAGTGGGGGGAACCGCTACTGTCAAAGCATTTTGATGACAGCGATCCCATTTCTTAGAGGTTTTTTTTTTTTCCTAGAGCTAAGAGAAAAATTCCTAAACAGCACAGTTTCAACAGGAACGTCCTGGTTCCAGAAGGAATCAGACCAAAGGCCAGAACAGTTCCACTACCAACAGTCGGATTCTGAAAAGAAATCGGATTGAAGGCCAACACGCTTCCAACAGGCACAGTTCCACTAGAAACAACCTGCTTCTAAGAAGGAGTCAGACCAAAGAACAGACAAGTACTCCCGGGAAGTATAGGCCTTCAAAACAGAACCCGAGTAAAGTCGGGAGAGCCGAAACACAAAGAGAGTAGAGCTCTAAATGCAGGAAAAAAACTTACCCTCAAACTCCAGGGTTGGCAAGTAAGCGGCGAACGCCATTGGCTCTGTAGCATCTGTTTGCTCACCTGCCTGAGAGTTGCTGGGGGTCTTCTCCGGATCCCACTTCTGATCACAAAGTAATATTCACCTTAAAAATAAAACTGTCAGATTTTTACCAGCAAAAATAAGTTTATTTGGGAATAACAGATATTGCAATTTGGGATAGGCAAGCTAAAACCATAGGCGAGATCTGATCAAGGAGGCACATTTTTGAAATCCCTTGCCCAAGAACTGCTGAATATATACTTCTTATAAACACAGGCAATTTAAAATAAGCTTAAAATATTAAAAAAGACTAATAGTTTATAGACTGTGTTCTCTGGCACTAATATAGACAATGTTCTTTGACAACTGTGGTCCTGAAAAACGTTAATATCAGTTGCTAAGTAGGAAATATTATCGCTGAAATATGATCTTGTGAAGATATATCACCTTGACTCTGTCATATCAGAAGTTCCATATGAAATGAGTATTACTAAAATTATACGACTGGCTTCAATAAACATATCACCAAAATAAGTGTATAAAACTTTTCCTTTTACTATAATTTTTAACAAATTGTGCAAATTGTGTCCATCTGTGTTTCTATCCTTTTACCTCAGTAATATCAGAATAGATAAATCGCCTCATCATGGTCAGCCTAAAAGCTGGTTTAAAAAGATTTGCTTTGTGTGTGCATATGCAGTGTCTTCCCTTCATAAATACTTAAGATAAATTGAAAAAAAATAGCAATTTTATATTATGCAGGGATACGACTGTCACTTAAATCCCAATAAATGGATAGGGAAAACAATTGTATTAATATTTCCTTACCACTAATTAAAAACTCCTGATGTAGGCATTCCAGGTAGGGTTTGTTTGTTTGTTTGTTTGGGAAAAGAATGAATTATAATGAAAGAAGAAGTTTGAGGAATTTGGTAACATTTGGAGCAGAAGTGGTTTTCAGTTTACAGAATTTTTTTTCAAGGCTTGGACTATGGTAACTTTTTTAGGTAGCAAAAAGCTTCATTTGGGAAAAAAATATGTGGTATAGATAGATTGTCTAATTTTGAAACTGAAATCCACAGAATAATTTCTTAAAAGATCACACAAATGTGTAATGCTTTTTAACTTGAATATCACGATGTTCATGTGATATACAAGTAATAATTCCCATTTTACAAATGTAGGAACCGAGAAACTGAAGTGTCTCACCCCAAGTCAAGCTATGATGGTACCTCATGTTTAAATCTATTTTTTTTTTGTTTCCCTTTTATGTCCTGACCTTATTTTTGACTATTAGGTCTGTGGCTATGAAATATATTTCACTTTGTTGACCAAGTAACACATATTTTGGCAAGAACATTTAAGATCTGAATAACTGTGTTTAATGTTAGGTTTTGGCTTCCGAATTAATTCCCAAAACTCATTGTATGACTTTTATGTCTCATGTGAGTCTCATGACTCACACCCTATTCATACCACACTTGATTTCCTCTCATCATCTTACCTTTTGCATGAATAAAGTCTGAAACAACCCCCATTTGGATGAAAAACACTGTGGCCACGTGTAAGGTGGTAACGTTAATGGAAGAAGCCTTCTCCAGAAGATCTGTGTAGGAGTCCAATCCTGTACACTCTTTTAAGTGTGCATTAGAAAACTTTTTCTAGATCTCTTCCCAGTTGATTCTAGATATAAGGCAGAAGAACACGGAGAGCCAGTCCATGGTAGCAGTAAATATCAGCATCAAGTAGACCTGTTCTGAAATCCAGCTTTGCCATTGCCCACTGGATTAGCTTGGCCTGTTTATCAACCTGCAAAATGCTGATGCAAGTTACCTATCACACAGAGTTCTGGCAAGTACTGTGGCGATGCATATAACCTGCTTAACAGGTACTTCGGTGCCCTGTAAATCTTAGTTTTTTATGTATCAGCCCCTCTCACCCTCAGTTGGGCCCTCTCTGAGCTTCCTAGACTGCAGTTCTGTGAGGCCTGCAGCTTGGAGAATGTGTCCAAAGTCAATCCTTGGTATGCTGCAGTTCTGTGGCATAAGAACGTCTGGCTTCCATATGTGCAGGCGAGTGGAGCACTACCATTTTGCTACTTGACAAGGCTATTTAGCAGGTGCACATGTCTGAACATTCCTGAATCAGGAGGGGGGCGGCTCTGGATTTCAGAGAGCAGTAACGGGACACAGCTGGAGTGAGGCAGGAGCCAGGAGCATCAACTCGAGCTCCGAATGTGCAGCGTGAAACGAAATGAAACGGCCTAAAACGACGAAGGTTCTAACAAACAATACCCATTAATTAGTGATCCAATTCCGTGTGCGTGCGGTGTGGAAAATACTGCAAAATCGAGGTACTTTTTCGGTTACTTTGCTTTTGAGGTGGGTTGTAGCCCTGAAGCCTGGACTGGACCCAGAAAGGAAGTCGGCTGCTCCGGGGCTGAGGACACAGGGGACACCTTGCGTTTCTGGCTCGGTTACAGAGCGGTACGTGGGTCGTCCGGGCAGACACCTGCGCTCCCCTCGACCCTCCGGCCCCTCGGGGCGCGGGGGGACCCCGCCCCGTGTCTTCCTCAGGCTCCGGCCCGCGGGCCGCGCGGCCCAGGTGAGGCCGCCCCCGCGCGCGCCCCTTCCCCCTCCCGGCGACTTCCTGGTTTGCAGAAGGTGCTGGAGCCGCTGCGGGCGGCCCCGGTCGCAGGAACTGTGAGGCCCCAGCCTCGGAGGCGGCGGGGGCGGCGGCCGGCGGAGACGGGGGCGGCGGCCGCGCCACCGCTGCCGCTGCTGCTGTCACAA